GAACTCACAAAACCCTTAAGGCCCCGAAGTCCCTAAACCCTAAACTAAACCCGGTTTAGGGTTTAGGGTTTAGGGCTAGCCTAGAGGTATCCTTTGCATTTCCGGTACGGCAGTATCCTTCCAAAAACTCTGAAGGATCCCCCGAGACTTCCACACGGGACGCTGCTTGCTTCCTGAATCCGGAAGCTAAGATCTAAAGCATCCACCTGGTTTAGGGTTAAGGATGCGACCCTGCGCCCTAAAGCTTGCTAAAAAGTGGAATCCTTATCACACGGGCCCTTGAGCAAGAAGGTATACTTACAGACAAGGAGCCCAGGAAAGAGTCTATCATCGCAGCTGGCGGCAGAGGTATTCATCTCTTCAGTTCCCGCAATACTTCAATGCCCTCAGAGTTTAGGGGCTTGGCACCAAAGGGTTCCACAAAGGCTACTTTAAGAGCCCTGAGAGGGTCTTATCCTTAGGGTTGTTTTTTTGTCGTGATATCCGCAACGCCGCGGGCAGGCTTTGCAAAAGTCGCCGTCGCAGGCCGTGCCGTCTCTCAGTTGCTTTCCTGAAATTTCACTTTTCTTTCTCCATGATGAATTAGACAAAGAGAAGGGGGTGGAGGGCGGGACTTCGAGGTTTTGCAGATACACCGCCTTCACATACCGTCACTGCTTCAAGCGGCGACTCGCTCCGCGACTCTGAAGCACCTGAAGCGGATGTGAGCCTAAAAGGATTAGCATCGACCAGACCAGGGCCGTGAGTGAAGTTTGCTTTCCGGCCGGACGGCGCAGCACGCTATAGCTGGAAAGCCTAGAATTCTAAGATCTGAGACAGATATGGGCTTGGTAAGGTCCTTGCATGTCTCTGTGTTGCCGATGCTTGCTGAAGTTCCCCATCGTTGAACCCGACAGACTTGGGAGGGCGAGGAGCATCAATGACACATCGCATGTCTGTGGCGCTACGTGACCACCAGGGCCCTGATACTTCCTGGGTTAAGACACCTTATGCAAGGGCTATGCAGCGATGAACAGCCTGTCTTTTATGAGTGTATTGGGTCATGAGACTAAGAACCCAACTGTACGGATGTTTGGAGCCGCTGATTCTCGGACCTCTGTAAAGCCGAAACTCGCAATTCTTCTCTCGCGAGCTGGTTGCAACTTCACGTGCATGATCGTTGCCATGCTGCTACACAGAGTAGGCAGTGCTGTGAAGCTGAAGGGCTGAAGCTGCAACAGGTAGCCCACATGCGACGGGCTCAGTTGGACGAGAGCCTCAGCGCATTTTTTGCTACGGGGCCAGGGCTTCCTGAACCACCTCTGAACTTTAAGCAAACTCGTCGACGAATTGACGAAGGACGACCGCAAGGAAGTTGGGCAGACGAGAGCACGTGAGGAATGTTTATTCCGAACTTATTCCCCGACAAATCTGCCAGATGCTGCGAAAGGCCTTGGCCTAGGCCCCAGCTGCTGACAAGCTTGTATCTAGTTGCAATTCGCATCTTTTGCAATGGTCTGCCTGACTAGGAATTGAGCCTGAGAGGCTGTCTTACGCCCTCTGTTCTGATGTCAAGACGAAAACGCATCTAGCCAGTCATGAACTTTTCCCTAAACCATCCTCAGCCGGATGAGCTGGGCGGCAAAATTGGGCACCACATCCCCGGTGTCCGGCCGGATATTGGCCTTTGCTACTTCTTTCTTCGGCTTAAGGGAAGCCTTATAGGAAGCTTTTCAAGGAATCCTCACTTCGGGGCTCTTGGAGGCGCCTCTGAGATGATCCCCTCTAGGAGGCCCTACATCCCTAAACCCCTAAAGCAGGCTGTTGTCGGTATCATGCTGGGCTTGAAAGACTTCGCTGTTCCCACACTTCGGTTTCTCTTGAGCCGTGCTCGACATCTCAGCCTCAGAGGGCCGCAGCACAGTCAGCGCGAAGCGACGGGCATTACAGGGTTTGCGGATTTAGGGTTTATGGCCTTTAGGGTTTACGGATCTAAGGTTTAGGGCCCTTTAGGGTTTACGGATTTTGGGAAAGTCTTCCCTTATGGCCCTTGTAGGGACATGACAGTGCATGTTCGGCTCGGTCGCGCCCGAGCCCACCACTCGCTGGAAACGTGCCTGGCCCTCGCTTGCGTAAAGACGCCGCAGGGGCAGAAGGGAAGTATACCGATGGCCACCATTAAGGTGCTTATGTCTCTGGCCCCCTTCTGTTTTGGTAGGTAGGCAGTCACTGGAGGGCAGGAACCTCCCTATTAAAATGCATCGCAGGCGCAGGTGCTAGGATATCGCTTGAGCCTTTAAGGCTTTTGTAAAGGAGGCGGTGTAAGCAACTGCACCCCTGAGCTGTCTTGCGACGTCCTTGATGAAGCCCATTTCTACAACTGGGACCTGCGCATGCGAAGCGCAGGAGGAGGTTATCCTCGCGACAGTCTTAGGGTTCTTTCTAAGGACAGGACCTTTGGAGGCGTCGAGTGCAGAGAGGCAAACGGGAACAGCCTTGTGGTACACTCCTGCAAGATCACGAGACGCCGGAGTCCCTTGGACGGCATGCACAAGGCCAGCACCGCACAGGAGCTACGGGAGAGCAGTCGCTTCCCACCCTGGCCTCGTGACCGAATGCCACGACAACTTCTGGCCAAAAGGGCCCCCCGCTCTTTGACCCGTCCCTTGCCATCTCTTCGAAAGCTTTGAAAGTGGGGCCCGGGCTGTTGCTCGGACTCTGGCACAACTGCTCCGGAGTCCTAAGCTGCCTGAACCAGTCGCACGGTGATGCAAAACTTCCTTCCTTTTAGCACGGCTCAAGCACGTCTGGGCAAAACATTTCGGCTTACTGGACTAACCCGGCGGCTCTCTGTGAAAGGTGTGAGAGCCCGTCTGGAAGGCCCTTCGATTCACACCTTGGGGAGAGCTTGGCAAGCGCCACACGGGTCTCTGCATGAAGAAATTAGGTAAAACTGCCGGGCTGCTATGGGCATCATGCACTCGACACGAACCCCAATGCAGGGCCGGAAGTTCCGGCTACAGCCGCTCCCTAGCATGGCCATCAGGAGCACCAAAGACAAGTCAACCTACGTTCAAAAGCCTCAAAGCCTAGTTTTGAGTGGCTTGCGAAGCTTCAAGCAGCCGTGGAGCCGTGCCTGTGGCCAGCACGAGGACACATGATGCGGGCGCAGTTAGGGAGCTACGACAGGTCCGGCCGCCATAAAGGCGACTCCGGCAGGTTGCACGAAAGTGGCGTGCTAGCCACCAGCGTGAACCGAGCCCACTCGGTTAGCCCACTGAGGTCAAACGCCGAGCCAAGGAAAAGCTTCCGAACCAACAGGTCCCTGCAGAGGGACGCCTGAATCCGCATCAACGGCCAAGAAGAGAGGCTGCTTCCTCCTGGGTAGGCTTCTCTTTTTTGAGGGCTTTTTTCTAGGGGTTTAAGGTTTAGGCGGAGCTGGACTCAGAAGCCCTAGGACCCTAGGACGATCCGCCCCCTTCTATATAGGTACACCCCTAAGCAATAGGATCTTCATTCCGACTTCCCAGGTGCCCTAAAACCGAAGCCCAAACCTTAAACTCCTAAACCCTAACCCCCCCCTTGGGAGCTTCCGACAATTAGGGGTACCTTATTTTGGTGTCCTTCTAATAAGGATCCTACTATTGAGGGTACCATATTAGGGTTCCAAATTTTCGGAAACTCCCAGAGTGCGGTTTATGGGGACCTATAATAAGGGTTTACTTAAACCCCTAAACCCTAACCCCCCTTTGTATTTAGAAACTCCCGCATCCTCCTTCTTCGGATTGTCGCTGGAAACTCGAAGCCACGAATGGCGCAGCGATCTCTCGGACGCCTTCGCATCAAAGCCAGTGGAGAAGTTTTCGATAGGAATCCGTGGGGGGGGCTAAGTTGTTTGGTATACTTGCCGACATTAAGTTGTGGCTTTTGGGTTTCGTGGTATACTGTGTGCTGGAAGCTATCTAGCTTGTTGAATAAATTAGCAGGGACTTTACCTTGGCTGACTTCTGAACCTCTCCTAAACAATAAACCTTTCGCCTAGGTATCGCAGTTCATATAGAAACCCTAAATGCTAAAGTCCTACGAGCCAGCCAGAAGAACGCCAAGTTAAGTGGGCCAATAACAAGGCAGCCTGTGAGCCTGAAAATGCGTCTACCACAGGGGCCGTAATATTTAGAAAAGGGTTCTGTTACACTAAAACTTCTGTAAGGAGATGTAAGGAACACCGAACCAATACTGGAGGTGATTCGAGCCCCAAAAGTATATGCGAATCGGCTGGATCGCATCGAAAACTTTGAGTAAAGACAATCCGCTCAGCACCCGGCCCATCTGCATGCAGCCATGCGTCTAATATGGAGGCTTTAATAACTGGAAAAACGTGTTGGGATACACTATACTATACCACGCCATACTATACTTGCCTATACTTATACTAATATTCTGACAATTGGTCCCTGAGGGATAGCATCGACAATTCTTGAGGCCTCTACGGCACCCTAAATCAGCCATGCGCCTAGCACTGGCAAGCATTCAAAGACGCACTTCTCAATCCAAGATTCGAGCCGAAAGCAGAAGGGTGATTGATTCTGAGGTCATTTCAGGGGCCGTGATTGTAAGAACAAGGCCTTAAAGGTCTTCAGAAAGGTTCCAGTAAGGGCTCCAATAAGGGCTTCTAAAGGCTTGTAATAATAAGGACAAGAATATTTAAAACAGGTCTTGAGGTTTATCGTAGTATACATAGACACAAGGACTACTGTATGGAGGGATGTTCTCAGCAATTATTCAACCCCTCCCGGGATTCAGGCAATGCGATATGTAGCTGCGAGAATCAGGTCTTCCTTTGCGGGACCCAGCAAAGCTTTCTATCTCCCTACCACGCAATCCAAGCCTTTTGGGAGGATCCAGGAGGCCCCGAAGTGGTTCCTACAAAGCACCCTTTCGTTGCTTCGGCTCGCCCTCCTAAACCCTGAGCCCTAAACCGAAGCTCCTTTTTCGAACCTCAACCTCTGTGACTGCACCCCTCAAAGTGGCACGATGCTCCGGCAGACACCCACGCAGAGCTTCGCAATGATCCTGAGCTGCTGTTAAGGCTGGCTCAACCCTGAATCCTAAACCCTAAAGCCTAAAACTGAAAAACCAAAACCTAAAACCTGAAGCCTAAATCCAAACCCTGAAACGGAACACCCTAAAGCCTAAACCCTAAACCCCAGAAAAGGAAGCTGCATACAAAATATCTTCCAGAAGAAGGGGCGGCTAAAGCGAGTGACGATGCCCCTCCAAAACGATGTCGGTTTGAGTTTTTAGGAGGCTTCAGGAGTTTAAGGTTTAAGGTTCAGGGCCACCAAACTACAAGCCCGAAGAAACGCACTGAACTTTTTAGGTGTACTGAACCCCAAAATCACAATCCACCCTAAGCTCTAGCAAAGACAAGGATTGCTTTAAATGCAACACATGGCCGTCCCAAAATCTAACCTTTTCCCAGAGAGACCAATATCCATTAAGTACGGAATATACCTTAAATCATTAGGGGCTTCATATTATGATTTAAGCTATATTTCTGAATTAAGGGGTATTAGCCTCTCTGGGCTGGGTCCAAGCCCAAGAATCTCGAAGCCGTTGAAGTGCCAACGACCAAAGTGGAGCGCGGGCGCGGCCAACCAGTCATTCCGACTGAGAGCCTGGAAGTCTCGAAGAGCCTTGTCCTGTGCTTGGAAGGGCAGGGGACTTAGTAAGTAGGTTATAAGTAGAGTTATAAGTACCCTAAATGGAGTTACCCCTATTATAACCCTACTTAGAACCTACTTACTAAGTCCCCTGCCCTTCCAAGTGGGAGGTTTTGCTCAGGGGGCATATGCAGCTACATTGTATGTACAGCTGTTGCTGAAGATGTTGGATGTGCAGTGTTAGCTGGAACTGATAGCAGAAATCGTGATTGGAAGTCAAAACCAGCACAAGCCGGCTATGTGCTCAGGAATCTGTACTGTACACATAATCTGGGTACTCACTGCATGGAGAGCCTAGGCCACAAAAATTGGGCAACATAGCTCAAATCATATCACGGACGCATTTACAACTAAATGAAGCAATCCCCACAACTACTGTAAACCTCCTTGAGTACTTTTAACAGTCCTGTAAATGGCAAGGCCGAAACCCAAGTGCAGCTGAACCCCTCAAGCTCTAGGCCGCAGAAAACCCAAAGCACTAATGTTGATGCAAAGTTGGGGAAGCCCCACATCTAATCGTTGTGACAATTGACATGGAATAGGTGTTTCTACTTTTATTCAAACGAAACATACCTCTTATCACTCTTTGTAATGAACTTGTTCAGTCCTTGTCCGTACTGGCGTCAAGCAGGAGGAGCACTACATGGAGGTGATCGCGCTGGGTAGCCAGGGAAACAGCGGTGGCACCATCCTAGCCCGATGGACACAGGCACTGGCAGGGCTCAGGGTGAACTTGGTCTTTCGGGCTTGAAGGCCTTGAATTCTCTGTTTGATCCTTCTCACAATGGCTGCCGGACATGGTGTCCTCGCCTTGCACCCTTGCGAAGGGTTTGCCCCTGAACCCGTGAAGTCCAGACCAGGGGGGTGGAGGCGGTGGTTTCGTAAACTTTCAGGGTGGGAAAACTAGACCTTCTTGAAACGATTCAATCACCAGGCCCCAATTAACCCGGACAAGATAGACACCCTAGACAGTTGGATCCGAACAAGTAGCATCGCTTCATGAGGCGGTGTTAAGAAACAGCCTAGCTTTCTTGAGGCTTCCCTGCTGTTAAGAGACTAAAACCCCTAAACTCCTAAGCCCTACCTAACTTTCTGCAAGTTTGACCCAGACGTAGCCTGCCGTGGCAAGTCGTCGGCACCAGCACCAAGCAAGGCTCTCACAGCATCCTTGTGCCCACGCTGTGCAGCGAGAAGAAGCGCCTGAAATCAACAATGTAGGGGGCTTCTTAGCCTTAATAATTAGACTAGGGTTTGCAACAGGGAGCCCCAAAATTGTATGGCCAATCACTTAGTCCCCTATCCAGTGGTTTTTCTTCTAGAGTCCAGCGCTAAGCTCCTGTGAGTCAAGAGCATGTCCTGCTACACCCGTTTTGCGACCTTCCATAAGTGGTATTGCTCAGAGATTTCCCCAGATCTGCCTATGGTAGCGGCACTCTGCCTAGCGCTCTGAGCATTCACTGCCTACGCTCATGACTTGGACACTTGCGCGTCGAGGTGCGAAGGATGCACTCTAAGAAAAAGGGGCTCTGAAGCCCTAAACCGCCAAACCCTAAATCCCAAAAACTAACCCTAAAATCCTAAAACTAACCCTAAACCCCTAAAACCCCTAAACTAAACGGATGCAAGTGGCCGTTTCCCCTCGACGATTCGCGCTGCCGGTCTCTGCTCGGCATTGGAGCAGCACTTCAACGACCTGCATGGACCGTCCCCCCGAGGATGACACCCCAAATCAGCGGCTTAATAGAGGGGCCTTAAGAATAGAGCTTTGGGAGCTCCTTGGTGTAGTTATAGTAAAATACACTGCCACACCCTATTCTCATTGTTAAGGCCCCCCGATATTACGGGCTTTCTGACTGGAGAGTTTCAGGAGATGAAGGACGCCGCCAACAGAAATCAAGGAAGCCCACAAGAACTGGGTTCCCGATACCCAAGACTAGCTGAGGTTCCGGTGGATTGAAGATCTTTGAACTGGATGAAGGCATGTCCCGGCCCGACATTTTTTTTTTTTTTTTTCTCGCGATTTTTGGGCAATCGCTTGCTTCAGTCCCGATATTCCCTACGCTCGCAAGTCATGCGTGACCGCCTGCACCCGCCATGCCCGCCTTGTGACCCAACACCATATACCCCAAACCTCCCCAAACTCGGATCAAAACCTGCAAGCCCAAAACCTCAAAGCCCTCAAGCTCTAAACGTTTAGCTTTTAGCCAGAAGCCTGCAACGGGAAGCGCATCTAGGTCTAAACACAGAGGGTCGCCTTCCTCGTCACCACGAGCTCCCGACAAAGAAAATGAGATGTTAACTAGGTTGGCCATTGAGAGCCTCTGAAACTATTGGGAAGTAAGATCCTCTTAAGCACACTAAGGGCAATACACATATAGTTATGTATGTATATAAATATGTGCATATAGTATCCCAAAGGCCTAGCTAGTTAAGGCGTTGCCAAACTTGCTAGGATGTCCTTGCTAAGCTCGAATCCGGGACTGTCCATACCTGCTGAAGTCACTGTCTGGTTAAAAGCTTCCAGGCAAGACCGAGGCTCTATCCCCTCAAACGTGGTTGGGTTTAGGGATTTGGGATTAGGGGTTTAATGGTCTGGGGTTGAAAGCCTGAGATTGCGCACTGAATAAGGAGTGGATTGCACCCCCAGTACTCTGGCTGCATCAGACCGGAACCAGGTGCAGCCACAGCGAGCGACACAGAGAGCACAGAATAGCTCCCCCGACATAGAGAAACGAGCCGCACAAAGAGCACAATATGGGATATAGGGGCCTTAATAATTACCCCATGTTATTTGGGAGTTTCCATATGGGAGTTTCCGAAAATAGGGGACCCTAATATAGTACCTTTCATAGTAGGATCCTTATTATAAGGACCCCAAACCAAGGTACCCCTAATTCTCGAAAACTCTAAACCCTTCTAAAGCCCCTTTAAAGGAGCCCTTATAGTACCCTTATAGTAACCCTTTAAAGGAGCCCTAAGGTACCCACAGCACCCACCCAGTTTCCGCAAGAGTCCCTTCAGACCCGGCTCGGGACGGTTTGGGGTTTGGGGGCTTAGGGGTTTAGGGTTTTAAGGGTTAGGGTTTGAGTTTAAGCTTTAGGGCTTAGGGGCTTAGGGGTTTAGGAGTTTAGGGTTTAAGGGTTAAGGTTTAAGGTTTAGGGTTTAGGGTAGCCCCGCACAGAGTGGTGCATGATGCTCTATACAGGACAAGGCTGGAAGTTGGTTCGTGGCTGCGCCTCTGCGTGCCCCTGCTGCGCCGCCAGCAACAGGGGTGTTGCCCCATCGCTTCGCCTTGCATCCACCGTGCAGCTTGCCTGCGCGAGATGCTTGAGGCTGTGTCCGCGGTTTTAGGGTTTCGGGCTTACTGCTGCAAAGTTGAGGGTGGAAGGGTTTGAGCCTTGAGGTCAGAGCTTTGACGTTCACGGGAGTGGGACTGAGAGGCTCCTGAACCAGCTGTCTTCAACGCCACCGACACTTCAGCAGCATCAAGGTCCGTGCTAATGCGCAAGCACGTGGGAGCGGGGTGGGCCTCTAGATTGCATTCTCAACAACCGATGTTATGCTGGCACGAAGTGTCTGATGCTAGCACAAAGGCAATCGCAGCAAAGGTTCTGGATTCTAGGTCGCAGCACATGACCCTAAATCATAAACCGGGCACCTGTTAACTCCAAAACCCGAAACCTTAAAGTCTGAACTTTCTAAATCGCCGGATATACCTATCTAAATATATATCTGTAATCATCCGTAAACAATATATATATATATATATGTATATTTATATATGTTTAAATTATTTCCCTATCACTCTCTGTCCCTGTCTCCTGAAATCCCAGACAATTCCTGAGTGGAGCCTCAAGAGCACCCTTGAAGTGTCCACACCTTTTGGGTACTACGGTTGATATGATACAGACCCTGCATTACCCATAGTAAGGAAAATGCCATAATTAATTACCATAGTCTAGACTCATGAGGGTAATAATGCAGGGTTCATATCATCAACCGTATGGCGTTCTACAGTAGGGTTCCCTTTAAGCGTACCATGGCACTGGGGTTCCATAATACGGTTCCCTGTAAGAGTACTATGGCTATGGGGTTTTCGAACAAGCTTCCCTTTATGTGATTACGATTCTAGGTTTCATTTTGAACCTTTAAAGGTTTCAGGGTTTTGAATCTTGTCTGGGGTTTATGAGTTTGGTTTTTGGGAACTAATCCCTTAACTCAGCACAACAAGAGACCTCAAACTTGGGGCTTTAGGGTTTTGGCTTTCTGGCTTTACATGTCAGCTTACGGACATCCATCCCTGCCTCCAGCAGCAGACGTGTGCTGCCTATCCAGCCACTTTGGGCTGCGACTAAAAGAGGCGTTTCGCCGTGAGAGTTCGCCCGGTCCTCAGAATCTGTTCGGCTCTTGGAAAATTTTGGGGGTTTAATAATTAGAACAGGGTCGGGTTGTATGTTGTACTATTGAAGATGCTAAGGCGCCAAGAAACCCTGTGGGCTATGTATTTTAATTATTGAGGTTTCTACAGTCTTGAAGTTTCTATATACCAAGCTATCGGAAGGACCACCTCGTGGTTCGGGAATGCATCCAAAAAACAAGCTGGGGGATTATGCGGGCTGAGATGGGCTGAGGTTGATTTGGAGAAGTGCTGCTTGCTCCTGGCACCTGCGGTGTTCGCATTCTGAATTTCAGGGCCACCGGGCCACCCCACATCACAACCAGTTCTCGGCGAAGACTCGGATTGCCGCCTGTCCCCCGCAGTCATGAAAGAAGAACTTGCTCAACTCTGCTGCCCGAAGGCTGTTGCAAGTCGCAAGAGGCGCTGAGCCTCGAGAGCTTCGCGCAGCACTTGGTACTTGGCTTCCAACTCTGTGTCTTCTGCTTTTCCATCTATTGAGCCTTCAGAGCCGCCTTGCACGTACTCGCGCCGGCAAGCGAGGCACTTCTGCAGTTTGTGCAGAATCGCGGAGGAAAACTGCATTGGATGTGCCAATCTTAAGCACCCCAACGCTCCAAGTCGCAAAGCCTAAACTGAGTTTTAAGGGAAGGGAAAGCTAAGATAACAGCCTAACCTTCAAGCTCTAGATGCTTAAAGAACAGGAATATCGGATGCCCGGAAAGCCGCCCACAGGCAGGGCCCTTCCGTTCTTGATACCCTAAACCCAAAAAACCCTAACCCTTCCATTCTCAAATCAAGCCCGGTTCTCCGAATCTAGGGACCCAAGATCCCCGTCTTGTGCTTTCTCTTTCGTGCTGAATTAGGGGGTACCTTATTTGGGTTCTTTATAACAAGGATCCTGCTATTTAGGGTGCTATCTTAGGGTACCCTATTTTCGGAAACTCCAAATGGTCTTTTGTGGGCCTGAACCGTTAGATTTTGGGCTTGGGCGCTGCTTTCTACTAGAGTTTGATTTGGTTTTGCGGGGAAAGCTTTAAGAGAGCTTCAGGAAAGAGCGGACCCTTAAGCGGATTTGTAAACATAAACTCCGTCCTCCGAACACATCCACCAAAAAGGTACCCTGACGATCAGAAACTCCAAAATATCGAACTGGGAGCTGCCCCAAGTGCAAGGTTTAGGGGTTCAGGGTTTTAAGTTTTAGGGTTTAGGATTCGAGGGTTGCAGGAGGGTTTCGAAACAGGGTTCCTTGGACTCACCAAGTGGGCATGAAGCTGCAACTTTTCAGGGTGTGGGGTTTTAGGATTGCAGATTCTTGGACTGATCGTTTAAGGAATTCTCCACTCAATCTTGACCCTGGCGTTGAAAGTTAAGGCCTCTGCCAGACGTTAACAGAACGAACCTCTGATTCGTCGAAGAACCAGCAAAGATTTCGGCTTTCGAATTCGGTTCAGGGTTTAGGAACCCTCAACCCTAAACCGTGCCCAAAGCCCCTGGATGGAACGTATCCTCTCATCCAAGGGTAAAAGGAGGGACCCTTAATAAAGACCCCTAGGTATATACCCTTAATATAGCTATTACATACCCATTATATAGCCCCATTATAGGGTAAGGGTCCCTCCTTTTCCCCTTTGATCTGAGAAACTCTACCACCGTAGAGCTCTCGGGGTGCTGCTCGGAAATCGGAAAACACAAACCCAAGCAGTCCTGAATCCAAAACCTAAACCCTAAACTGAACCCAACACCCTACACCTCAACCCTCAACCTAAAACCCTACCCAAAAATCTAGACCCTAAGCCTAAAGAATTGAACCTGAGAGCAACCCCAGTCTCTAGACTCAACAAGCCACAACCCCCCAACCCAAAAAACCCAAAGTGCTCAACCCAACAACCCTAAACCCTGGAATCCTTGTAGCACCCTGGAGACATCTTTCAACAACCAACCCTGAACTCTAAAACCCTTAAGCCCTGAAAACCTTTCAATAAAAACAGCCCACCCTAAACCCTAAACCTCTAAACCCTAGACCCACCCCCCTTTAAAGGAACCCTGAGCCCTAAACCCCTAAGCAGACGGATCCTGAACCCGGCGGCGCCCTGTCACGGTCCTTGTCTGCTCCCGCTTCGAGCAGTAGTTTCAAGCACCTGCTCAAGTAAGCTTTAAGGCTTTAGGGGGGGGCCTTACAGCTTTAGGGTTTGGGGTTTAGGATTTAGGCTTTAGGGGTTGAGGTTTAAGGGTTTAGGGGTCCGGGTTTAGGGCTCAAAAACCTAGAATTCTGCCTCTTTGTGTACATGGGCAGTACTTGAGGCATTTGTCTGGGTCAAAGGCTAAAGCAGGTGGGTTTTGTGGCCCCCACAAACCCTAAAGCTGTAAGGTTTGGGCTTTGGACCTTCAGGGTTCATGTTTCTAGGGTTTTAAAGTTTGGGTGGTTGTCAAAATTGGGGGTCTCTTGGGTACCCTATAGGGTTTAGGGTAAATATTATTACGTGCCGTAGTATATTAAGGACCCAAAAAGGGACCCTAATTTTGACAACACCCACTTGAAAGTGAAGGGGCTCTACCGAGGGAGTTTGGGTCTGGGGTTCAAGGTTTTAAGATCCAGGAATGGTTTCACAGCGTAACGCACAAAGACGCATTCCACCTAGATCTCCAACGCGCTTTTAGCAGGGTCCTACAAGCCTTTATTACACGGGTTGTATAAAAGATTTATACGGCTTCTTTAAGGCTTCCAAACGGGTATAGAGGTTTTTGATTCAGGATTTAGGGTCCGCTAACCACCAGAGCCTACTTGACAGTGGCATTAATATTGCGACCTGCCAGGGAGCGCATACTCTCAGCCTGAAACCCAGGACGTCTAAGCTCTGAAACCAATGTAGGATCAAACACCTTAACCCTGAACGCTGACACACATCTCAGATCTCTTATACACCCTAAACCCCTAACTCTAGAAGCCGCACAGACTCCTGCTTAGAAACCTCAAACCTTCGAAAGGATGTGTAAGAACCTGAGTACTAAACGGTTTGGGGTTTAAGACTTGGGGAGCTTGAGTACTGAACTCGTTTCCGGCACGAAGCTCTGCATGGATGCTCTTTTGACTTAGTGTCTGCCCCACCCTAAACCTAGGCCCTAAACCCACAAGCGCCTGAAGCAATATTTCCATGATGGGTCCAGTGTCGAATGAACGTTTCGGCTTTAGGGATTGTGTTTGAGGCTTTAGGGGTTTCTCTAAACCCTCAACCAAGGTTTCAAGGCTAAAGGTTCATGTCTCGGGGTATAGAGTTTCGGGATCCCAGTCAAACCCGGAAGCCGTGCAGAGCTCAAGGAACATCTACATCGTCTTTGCCTGGACCGAGGGATTGAAACAAGAGCTGCGAAACTCCCTGGAAGCCCCAGCATCAAGAAGATGTGGGGTTTGGGGTAAAGGCTTTTTGGCTTCAGTACAACGTAGGGCCTAGGTCAGGCTTTTGAGTTCAGAATGCGGTCAGGGTTTGGGGTTTACTGTTTAGGGCCGGTTTGGGGTGCAGATAGAACTACCTCCAGCACAAACCCCAGGTGACATATAGAAAACTACAAAACTGAAACCTTAACCCCGCGAGCCCCAAAAGACAACGTCCTTGAACAACTTACACTCGGGCCAAACAGCAAATACAAAAAGATAATAAGCTTCCCTAAACCCGAAACCCTAAACCATTAATCCCAAGCCCGTCAACCCTGGCCTGAGATTTCGCACCAAAATCTCAGAGTAAGGAATGTAACGGTTTAGGGCTTCGGAATTAGGGTACTGTACCTCGCATTCTACCAGGGAGCTTCAGGATCTTTAGGACGCGACCTTATTGAGGGCGCCTTGTATTCAGCTTTCATCACGTCTTGGTGTGTCTCGGTGGTCGCCAGGAATTTCTCTGTCGCGTCAGCGATCTCCTTCTCGCAGCGTGTCATGTTCGGGAGTACTCTGCCGCTCAAAGCCGCAACGCTCTTTGCGGAGACTGTGCTGCTCCCTCCAGACGACTCGAACGCCCGTTTTAATGTGAAAAGCACATCATGCCGGGTCGCTGGGGAACCACGCTGCTTGGAATCACGGGCAATCTGGTGGCTAACGTCAGCATTGGCGACAGCACGTGCCGGACCAGTAAAGATCGTCTGGAGCTCTGTCAAGTCATCCACCACCGTGTAGTTGACAGACAAGCTCGCCTTCAAGTCGGTGACTTTCTTTTTCTCAGCTTCAAGCGACTTGGTCCTCGTGCATGTCCGCTTTCAACTTCCCCAGTATTTTTCTTTTGACTCACGGACCTTTAGCTCGACGGCTTTTTCAGTTGTCATCACCTCCACTCCATCTCGGAGTCTCCTCACCGCAGAGGCCAGGAGCTCTGCCACTTCCAGCGGGTTCTTCAGAGAATCACTGAAAACTGCGCTGAAAATAGTTGCCCCTGGGATGCTGTTCGAGACAGTCATATGGAAGTTTCAAACATCAGGGGGCATTTAAACTGCTCTAAAGACTAGGATGCCTTATCAGAAGGACTCCCAAATTAAGGTACACCCTTTTCAACAAATCATCGGTGGACTCGTTGAGGAGCATCGGCGTACTTAGACAAAGGGGCAGTCCTCACCCTAAACACCCTAAACCATCCCTACAACCCCCTACCCTATAGCACCCTAGTAACCCTTATAGATCCCTTAACGGAACCCTTATAATACCCTACAGCAAAACCCCTACAACCCCATATCCTACCTCGAACCCCCCCTAAAAACCCTGAAGATCCTGGCCTTAAGCATGAGGTTTTTTCGGGGGGGTTTGGTTTAGGGCTTAAGAGGGTTTGGGTTTAAGGGGCTCAGGGCTCTAGTTTTTAGGGTTTAGTAGGGTTTAGGGTTGGGGCCCCGAAAGGTATTTTTGAAAAGGTTTTCTCTATA